ACTTTCATCACTTACAGCGCCCATCGTACAAGGCAAATTAAACGTGTAACCGGGGTGAAAAGGGTGTTACATTTACTTAATTATGAATGTTGTTACATCTAGGCCGAAGATTAGGATGAGCACCAACGGTCAAAAATGTTTTTTTCCCTCCCAGAGCTAGCGCAGCGCCCCCCCCCAGATCTGGCACCCTAGGCGACCGCCTATGCCAAAAACCGGCCCTGAATATATTGTATAAGATGTGCATTGAAATGTTGGACACTGAAGTGTACGAGAACACATGTACGAACGTTCAGACAGAGATGAAGTGATGTTAACTTCCGTTACAAAAAAGTGAATATGTGTCGAAAAGAATAAGGATGATTAACGAGGGAAGTAATATACCCTGGTAGAGAATGAGATGGAGAGCAGATGGAAATAAGAGTAGAAATTCAAGATAGAGAAAGAATGAAAACGATAACATTCATGTGAGAAGGAAGGGAAATGGTTTAATGGTCGACAATAAACCCAATGCACATTGATATACCTCAAGACCTTTTTATGGTTCAGTTTCGCTATGAGATAAAAACAATGTGTTAGTACAGAAGCTATCATCTTCGTCTTGCATGTCATTTGTCAGTAGATGCCATTTTCTTTAAATGGAGCATTTGAAACTAAGGAAATACATGTGGTACGACTTTAAAATGGATGTATAAATAATCAAACCGTGAGTGAAGTGAAAATGACAAAATAAATCCTCATAAATTACCTTGATTTACTGACCTGGAATGATGTAGGGCAAGACAAGATTCAGAGTTCTTTAAAAAAAGGCCTCATCATATCAAATGTAATGAAGTGTGATGGTATGCATAAGCAATGTGTGTGCTGGTGGGCTGTACATGTGCACTTTGAAACCTGTGAAGCTCATTCAAACCTACTTAGAAACATTCAAAACGCTACATGTGGATATCATAAGAAATTAACTGTCTCTCTTAATTTCTTGAGACCAGTTGGACATGCCACTATATATATAATCTTTTAGTGTGTTTCTGAGACTTAAACTTTGCCGTATCCATGTTGCTCAGCACGAGTTTCAGTCGGTGCACGTACAAAACGTAATGTGCGTGGGAGTGCGTATTGTCCACTGTTTTTGTCCTGCTGATTTCAATGTCATCATCTCCCCAGTGATCTCCTTCCAAAGAAAGACTCACCAACCCAGTAACAATACTCCATTGTCTGCAAGGGGAACAGAGAGTCCCCCCCACACACACAGTTCACTGTAAGGACATTTAAATCAGTAATCACACAGGACGTCTTGCTGTAGGTCTTGTCGCCTTCCATTCCTTTTTTTCTGGAAAGTCTACTACTTTTGGACTCGCATTGATCACGCCCAGCAGCCTGGTACCCAGATGTCGCAGACCTGGGTGTAGAGAGGCTAAAAACAAAAAGGTCCTTTGTCCACAGTGACCCTGTTTCGACCTGGCAAATCACACAATCCAAGGATGTGGCCAGTGTTTGTCAGGTGAACACAACTCACTGGTTAATGACGACAAAGCTATGTTAATTGTAGTTGTCTACTTGCTCCTGTCCCTTTTTTTTAACCTACATTTATTTTTTCATTGATTATTCTCAGTTTCTTATCTTATTGTTGCTTGCTGCTGAAAACATCACTTCCTGTGCAGCTCAACATTGTTTCTTGGAAAAACAAAACGTGGCGCTCCTCAAAGCAAACAGAAAATGGATTCATGAAACTGGGATTGGTTCTGTAAAGTTGGCAAGATGTAGGGAAACCTTTTTACATTTAAATGTCATGGATTATGGCTTTATGTATTTACTTGGTCAGTTACAGCCCAGTATGTGTTGAGTGAGTTTTATGACACCATGGGTCAGGAAACCTGTTTTCACTTGAACTGTCAGAATTAGTTTTAGTATTTTAGCTGTAGTTTTTATATTATAATTTATTTGTTCTTTGTCACCCTGCTGGCTCCGGCTCTCTGGATGAATCTGCACTGGAAACAATGTGTGACACTTTTTGTCAGAACTCTGGCAGCTACGATGATCCTGCATTTTCCGTTTCTCAGACAGCGTCTTAGTTCTCAGACAGACATGAAGTTCAGTGGAAGGACAAATATATCTAAAATACCAAAACAGCCTGCTTTGAAACATATTGTCTTATAGACCACATGCAAGAATTAATGATATTAATCCATGTTTCTTTCTTCCACAGCATGTGTTCACCATGGATCCTATGAATGTGGAGAATGGACGAGGGAAGGTTCCACATGACCCCAGTTACCCCTTCGCTAGCACCTTCAGTGGTATGTCCCATGCTGTTTTCCTTTATTTCTGAAACGTCTCTCAATTGGTTTATTGGGTGAATATGGCTAAGGAACCATTTTCCACAGGTCATTTGGCCTATAGTTGGTACCATTTTATTGAAAAATGGTTGCACCCCTTTTTCCTCTTCTTGTTTCCTGTCTGCCCGAACTGTAAAAGTAAAAGCAAAAATCCTATAAAAAAAGACTTCGAACACTTTACATATAAAATCCTAATGTTGTTGTTATACCCGATTTTCCGAAGTCTTAAATAAGAAATTCACAAGTTATTGCGGTCAAATTAAATTTGGCCTTTTTGTACCTTGGTATATTTTATCTAATTATGTAAAATGACCCCAGCTTCTCCTTCGCTAGCACCTTCAGTGGTATGTCCCATGCTGTTTTCCTTCATTTATAAAAAGTTTTTCAATTGGTTTATTGGGTGATTATGGCTAAGGAACCTTTTTCCACAGGTCATTTGGCCTATAGTTGGTAGCATTTTATTTCCTGTCTGCCCGAACTGTAACAGTAAAAATCCTACAAAAACACTTGAGATATAAAATCATAAAATGTCGGTGTGATATCACTACCCTATTTCCCAAAGTCTTGAATAAGAAATTCACAAGTTATTGCGGTCCAATTCAAGTTCGCCTTTTTGTACCTTGGTATATTTTATCTGCCACATCTAACTATGTAAAATATCAAACACACATGGTCTGTTTTGTACACCTCTCTGCACAGATCTCTGCTTTGTTTTAAAAAATAATAACCTAAAGAACAGGAACTATGACCTGCTTTGGCTCTGGCACACGCACCCTCTGGAGCTGTGCTGAGTAGGTTAAATAGTTCTGGGTGTTTCTCTCTGAATGTCATTAGGTATTTGGTTTGTGAAATATGGTTGATTTATTCCAGGGATCCTGGGAGCCTCTGAGGCAGGAGGTGTATCAGCCCTCTATCCCAGCTTCCTCTCTCTGCAGCTGCTTTGAGCATCAGCATTTATCCCACAACGCATCATGTTTGGCAGGAAATCATTCAATTAGAGCCAAACACTCACGCAGTTTAGACCCCAGTAGAGACATTCAACACATGGACAAAAGACAGAACAATACTGGAACGTCCTTAGGCCTGCAGAAGTGTATTGTAGATAACTAAAAGACAAAAGGACATTTTGGGAGAGATTTGAGTTTTTTTCAGTTCAAATGTAAACTTTCAAAACAAAGAATGTGTAAACGCTGACTCGGCAGATTTGTTGGCCTTGTCAAAGTCAGCAAGGTTTTGTAAGATGATCGGACCTTTGGAATTGAACCTCCTTAAAGAACTGCTATCTTCAGGATTTCTGTTTCCGTCTCTGACCGTGAACACTGACCTCTCTATAGATTTCCACTCTTCAGGGATCAATGGTATGCAAAAAGCAGACACTGTAGAAAAAGATACACGAGTCGACACAAATACAGACACAGGCATAAATATAGAGCTTAACCAAAAAAATATATATATCATAAAAAAATGAAAATAGAGAGGCCAAGAAAGAAACAGTAAACGATGATGAATCAAGCAAATAATGATTTCCTCTTCTACATTTCGGGATCCTCTCCCAAAAAACACAAAGCTGTCATTACCAATTTTAGAATCTATTGTGTGAACATGACGTTATGTGTGTGTGTTTTAGTTTTAAGGTTAAAGAAGGGGTGTGTGTGTCTTACTAATGCCTATTTTCTTTTCTTATGCCGTAAAAGATCATCATCATTTACACCAATGAGGTCACTGTCTGTGGTCAGATGTCTTGCTTCATTGGTCACTGTGTTGGGAAAGGCTTTCACTTATATCCCTAATAATTCTTCATTATGTGATTGGTGTTGTAGGGATTTCCGTCTTACCGCTAGCTGGGGTTGCTTTCTTTTCTAATGACGGATTACCCTGGCTGCTTTAGGTTTTTCCAAAGGTTTATTTACTGTACTGTATATGCTACAGGAAAGATTGTATATCTTTAGGCCGGAAAATCTATGTTCTGAGTTGTTGAAATTTAAACTGAGTCTATGCTTATGGTCTCTGTGGAGGATGTACTGTACGTGTTTGAGTTTCAGATTACTCTCCCGGTGTGCTTTGAATTGGTTTCATTTCCATTTCCTCTTTCCTTCCATGCTTCATTTGCTTCTACTGCAAATCCTGTTTTCAGTCACCCATGATTTCCCTATTGTAATTATGTGCCAATCTTTTTATTTATCCCTAATCCGTTTCCTTTATTGCTGCTGTTCTTTACTCTGCTGTATTGACCCTTCTTCTCCGTCTCCCTCCACCTCTGTCATTGCCTCTCTTCAGGTGGGGAGCTGTATACTGCACTGACGGCAGACTTTCTGGGTAGGGACTCTGTGATCTTCAGGAGTATGGGAGGTCGCTCCACCATGAGGACAGAGACTGACCAGAAACTTCTCCACGGTAATGCTTCACTGTTTAATCAACCTCTTCCATCAATCATGGCATCTTCATCCCTTTGCTCAGACCACATGTGTTCTCTTCTTTAAATAGATTACTTTAATACTAACGTCCATGTCTCTTCTTCCTCTGCAGACCCTAAGTTCATCGCTGCGCACCTCATCCCAGACAATGATGACAGAGACAACGACAAAGTGTATTTCTTCTTCACTGAGAAGGCCACGGAGGCAGGGGACAGGGAGGGGGCCATACACACACGTATTGGACGAGTGTGTGCGGTGAGATACTTTATAAACACTTCACAGTATACACATTTACTTTGCGACCTGGTGGTGTTTGCATTAAGTCTGCAACAGGTATCTAGCCATGCAGATACTTTTACGTATCAAAGTTATTATTGAATCTCTTACCGAGCCTTGTGCTGTCAGAAATGACACATAACTAAACAGAAAGTGGAGGAACTTCTGCAGTATGTAAATGAAAAACAATCCGTTATCAGTTATAGAAAATAATTAAATACCCCACTTGTACCAGTAACATATTATAGTCAGAAAATCAGGTTAATACGGGTATGCCGGAAAAGATTGAGAGATGATCTGTTGTCAGGTGGGGATGAGTGAAGCCAGATGGTCAGGTGAGTCACGTAATGCTATTCCTCATGGCCTGACAAATATCCAGTCCAATATATGAGACATCTGCAGGCGTGTTTCATTTGAAGAAGAAGTTATTATCTGGGAGTCTGGGAGTCCTTCTGGGCTCATTTGTTTTCTGGAGAATTCCGTTGGTGTTCCTAAATCTCCAATCTCCACCCATGCTTTCAGTCTGATGATATTCACATTCTCACTAAAGTCCAATGGACGAATGTGATATGAAAACACAGATACGGGTAAAAGTGATCGAAAAAGACATTTCACGGGTTTATATTTTTTCCCTCCTTGAAAGAGACAAATGTCTTTCAGAGCAATCACATGTTAACATTTTCCCAATGGACTGTGAAGGCATCATGATATTCAGAATCATATGAGTTCTTTCTCCTCCTAAAGCTCGTACAGCTGTCAAATAAGCCAACTGATCCCCGTCTGCTCTGCACGCTCTCTCACGCTCTTTCACGCATTGATATGTCTTGGAAAACCATATGTGTGCTGCGTGCACCATACACAGAAATAAGCATGAATCGAAGAATATGCACGCACACAAACACACACACACACACACACACACACACACACACACACACACACACACACACACACAGCTACAGGATTTCCTTAGCGTCTGTTTGACTGTGCCAGAAAAGTTTGCCAAAACTTCTCGTACAAAATCCCACCTAAACCTTCAAATTATAGCTTTATTTGTCATCCTCGTCTCCCTGTATCCTACTCCTCTTTCTCTCCGTCTGTCACTCATTCTCTCCCTTCACACATTATATTGTTTTCTCCGCAGCACTCTTTTCCTCCCTCAGGCAAATCCGAATAGTTGTCTTCACTTCCCCCGTGGTGTTCGTGCCAAGAAGCTCATTATCACCGCCGATCCCCATCTCACACACACCCTCCCTCGTGATGTATTGCACACTAATTCTCTGCAACAGACAAGCGACTGTGTTCTGGAAAGGTTTAAAAAGGCATACTTTAGTGTATCCTGGTTGTGTACAGAAGTATTAGTCTATTGTTAGGTAGTGTAGGTTTTGTCAGTGCCAAAATATTTGAAAAGAAAACAGTGATTACAAGATTTGAGTGCTGACTTTCATCTTTCATTTGATGGCTTTAACTACTTAAATCAGATATACTGTACAGCTTCAAGTCGTGTATTTGTAATCTTTCAACAAATCAAAAATGTGCATCAAAGGGCTTTATAATCTGTACAGTATCTGTCTTTAGACCCTATATTTTGGATTAGAAAACGTCTCTGGTCGACAACATTCTTTTATTTCGGTTTAGGTTCATGTTCTGGCTCCATTCTCCTAAGGGGACCATGTCCAAAAAGAAATCCAGTCCTGCACTGTTTCACCCACTCCAACACACCTAAAGCTGCTCTAACCTCAGCGTTTCAATCAAAATCCATTTTGCTAGAGTACAGAGCCAAACAATGAAACTGTGTGTGTGGAATTGAAAATGCAGCTGTGTTTTATAGATTATATTTCTCTCTTTTTCCTGCCAGAACGATGTTGGAGGTCAGAGAGTGCTAGTGAACAAGTGGAGTACCTTCGTAAAAGCCAGACTGGTCTGCTCTGTCCCGGGACCTCACGGCATCGACACACACTTCAACCAGCTGGGTGAGATACACACAAATATTTTTTGTACACACTCTCATCCTAATTTAACATGCATTCTTGGACACATTCAAGCATTTTACTACAAAGAAACACACGTTCTAAAGGGGATTCTTTGTTTAACATAAAACAGAGGATGTTTTCTTGCTGAGGACCAAGGATGAGAGGAACCCAGATGTATATGCAATCTTCAGCACCATCAGGTGAATAACCATGAAGCATGCTACTCAATGTGTATACCGGTTATACCAACACATTAACAACTCTACCTTATGTAACTGATGTCTTATTAAGCTTTCCCTTTTCTTATCATCCAGCTAGTACTTGTGAAGTAATTTGTGGAAATGTTTCCCTTTTCTCCTCCACAGTAATGTATTCCAGGGTTTTGCCGTGTGTGTGTACCGAATGGCTGACATCAGAGAAGCCTTCAACGGACCCTTTGCCCATAAAGAGGGCCCTGACTATCAGTGGGGGGCCTATGAAGGCAGGGTCCCTTATCCAAGACCAGGCGTGGTGAGTGAGGGCTTACAAAATATATCACCCTCTAACCCTGACTTTACTCAAATGCTTCGGTTTCAAAACCCTAACTGTACCTCGACCTTACTGTACTTACCATGACCAAAATATGTCCCATAATACATTCTGTTCTTCTGTTCAGAAACATTATGAAGAAACATAAGATATCCTACACTTCATATGCTGATGACACACAGTTGTACAGTACTATAGCTTCTACTGATTTATGTCCTATTAACTAGCTGGCAAACTATATCAATGGCCAATTATTGAAAGCTTAAGTTTGAAGATAATATTAAGACATTTACATCATAGGTTTTGAATAGCGACAGAAAATTAAATACCGTAAGTCGGTACACTGAGCTGTTTTAAATGCTGACCTAACCTTTAGATACGCATCTTACTGTAACTCAATCAACTTTAAGACATCTTATTACATAACATACATTTCACATAGATGTGTCAGATTTAGCAAAAATGCAAATGTTTCATACCTTTTAAAAAACACATCTAACAGAAACTGGTCAATGCATTCATTTCAAACAGTGCAATGATATTTTTGTAGAATACCAATAGGTAAGCTAAAGGCTTTAGCTATTAAAAAACACAGCACCACAAACTACAGCCTCAAATATTAACATAAAATTGACAACTTCTCAAGCTTATTGCCAAAGCCTTGATTACGGTATTTATTCCTGAATGGACATGTTATGACAGAGAATGCAATAGTTCAGACCCAACAAGCCCACTCTGAACAGAGAGGCAGGAACAATATGAAAGGTGCTAAAAGCATAAGAAATGAGGTGTAGAAAGTTCCCTATCAGTAATGTTAACTACTGTATGTTGCAGTGCAGCTGTGCATACTTCTCCTGGTTTACATCCTGACTCTCAGTGGTGCTCTGTCATGTCCTCTCAACCACATCATTGTAATCAGACTTGTTTTACACACTTACACACACAAACGGTCGCGCGTTTTATTCCGCCTCATTACCAGACTGCAGAATTGTATGGAGGAAGAAGGAATATGAATAATGTGAGAACAGAGCAGACACCTCTGTGGTTCCACTCCACTGACTCTCTGATTAACAGGAATGTCTTGGCCTGAAACGAGAGAGAGAGGAAACAGGAAAAAGGGTGATGACTTAAGTTAGGCTGATGAAAAGGCACAGATGGGAAGGAAAGAAGTAGATATTCATCTAAACTAATATGATGAAGAACAGCTTGCTGGATGGCTGTGGATAACATATTCTCCCTCTTCTCTAGTAAAACAATTATAATGACCTACTTTTTTTTTTGTCTCACGCAACAGACAGAATATTTTTAATTTCCTGGAGTTTTCTTTGTAACAGATTCCTATTGTTACACTGTGTAATATCTATCATGTCTGCTTTCACACCTGTCAAAACTCATCCTGGAAAATAGAAGTGCAGTATGAGAGATTTAGTGGATTTATCCTCCCTGGATGTTTATTTTTGGATTGTCATAGCACTGCACATTGTTTGAAAGTCTGTAATAATCTATTCTGTGATAGAAAGAATTATAGGATAGTCTGGTTTCCAAGTTTCCAGAGCTTTAATCCTACTTGGACTGAGCCATATGAAGCTTTTCTCTGCCTGCCTGTCATTCATAATCATTTGACATAGAAAAGTGGTAGGTTTGATACTTCAAACTCAAGCTTTTGGCTTGCTACCAGAATAATTGTATCCATGATGATCCATGCAGTCTTTCAAGTAACTAGATGTTTCTCTTGGATTGATTTCTGACATAAAAATCACTTCCATAGTCTGTTTTAAATCAATAGAAGTGTATCATGCTGTCACATCGATAATCAGAGTGTCATCTGTATATTTTTCTTCATACTTTCACATGCATTTGTTCCCATAAAAAACATACATTGGGGCATTAGAGCTGCTGGTAATGGGGCTTAGGACCATGTATAGCATGTCATCCCCTTTCATTTTAGAATAAAGGCACTGGTTACCCAAAACAAAAAAAGACTTACATTTGATTAAAATATACTTTATCCATTACCTCATTGTGTCAGAACTCAACTATCTGTCAAGGGAGTGTACATTTTGGGGTTTGAGGCTTCTGCTAACTTATTTTTGCCAAATCATGCTCGTTTCTTTCCGTTGGGTAGCTTCAACTGTACATTTTTAGTAGGAACTAGATGATACTTTATTGGTACCTAATGTATACAGTACGTCAAAATAATACTGTAAACCATGGGCTGTATTGAAGTTTTACAGAAAAGTGATTTTCTTGCATTCTGGTCTGACATTGAAAGATTTCAGAAACTTAAAACCACAATTTGAAAGGTTGATATGGAAATAAGTCCTATTCCATGATTTGAACCTGAGCTCTCCTTATGGTCTGTTGCATGCATTAACACGCATGCAAACACAGTCACATACACAGTAAGAATGGGCGTGAATAGAAGTCTGCCAAATATGCTCACCTCTCCTCGCTCGCATTAATCCTAACTTGGCTCACTGTTGGTGATTGAAAGCAGTTGACTTGCTACAGCAAAGTTTGGATGAGTTGACAAGAGATTTTGGAGCTGGCCCAGTTTTACGTGCTGTACAAACAGATGAACATAGTATTTCAGTGAGCCGTTTAAAACGCTGACATATCAATGAATTGTATTGGCAGCTGCACAAGTATGAGTGATGGGGAAATCTTTCATAAATAAAATAGTGTCTTGCGTTCTGAAAGATATGTGAAAGTATGTTCTTTTTTTACATGTTAAAATGACAGTTATATTTATTTGAGCTTGAAGCTTACCAGAAGATAAGGTAAAGGTATGCTTGGATCACATTTTGAGTTATACCTGAACTTCACAATTTATCGGCTACTAAATCAAAACATACTGTTAAGAAATATACAATTTTTCAAGTCAGCATGTTTTGGAGTTGGATTTGCCTCCACATTCTGCACCCTCTGTAATAAATTGTAATTGAAGCCATTTAGTAAGTCATACTCGGAGGAATGTCATACATCAATACAGTAGTTTGTTCAGATTCCAGTCTGAGGTCCCCGCATAGTTCAGATCCACCCTCTGAAATAGAAACCAGATCATTATAGAGCTATTTTTGATCAGTAACTGTTGTGATAAGCAGAAATATCAATAATGCAGTATGGAAGTCTGGAATAGCAATATCAGGGAATGATTTCCTGTGTTTAGACTATATTCTACCCTTTTCTCATTTCATTTATGCTTTTTTGTCAGACTTTGACATATGCTTTCATTTAAGTCAGTCACTGTTGCTGTATTATTATCTTATTCACATCTTTTTGTCATCCCAACCCCAAGATGATAAAATGACCAGTTTGTCAGGCCCTAAAGCAACTTCTAAATATTTCAAAGCTTAAATGCAATGATTATTCCCAACAGAGCTTCTAATCTGATTTTGAAGCTCACTGGTACATTCAAGTGACACTATTTGAGTAAAATGAACCCCAAAAGCACCTTTGTATTGTGCCCTTTTGTGCTATTTTGCCAAATAAGCCTACATTTGAGTCTTGTAAACCCAGACACTGGCCTTCGCCCCATTGCTGCCCTTATTGATCTTAATTGTACAAAACTGCAAAGCTTCAGTTGAAACGCAGGTCATATGGTTTGCGTACATGCCTTTACTTGGACTGTGTTCAACCCTCTTGATTATTTGATTGATACAGTATCTCTGCCAAGAACCAGCACATTCAATTTGTAATTACAGTGACACGAATGGGAGAGTTTTGAACTAACAGCACACTCTGCCTCTATAAAGCTGGTTCCAAACCAAGGGCTTTACAACTATGGTTTTGAACTTTCATCCAAAGTTTTCAGGCACAATAAAAGTGCTAATGAGGGTTAATTGAGAAGTCTTTAAGACCATAATTATGCCACATTGCTTTTGGAAACACACCTAAAGTGGTGGAACATGGTGGGAATTAAAGTCGGGATGGAAAACGGACAGAAATAGGCTTTCTCATTATTAATTAACCAAGGATTTTGCCAACATCTTTAATAACCATCTCCTTTGTTTCTCCACATGTTTCCCACCTCCAGTGCCCTAGTAAAATCACCAACCAGCCTGGCAGAGAGTTTGGCAGCACGAAGGACTTCCCCGATTCAGTGCTGCAGTTTGCCCGCAGCCACCCATTGATGTGGCGACCGGTGTTTCCCGCTCTGCGTCAGCCTGTGCTCGTAAAGGCCAACTTGCCTTACAAGCTGAAACAAATCGTGGTTGACCGGGTCGAGGCGGAGGACGGGCAGTATGACGTAATGTTCATTGGCACAGGTAATATTGATGTGAATTTAAAGGTGGGGTAGGTAAGTTTGAGAAACCGGCTCGAGATATACTTTTTGTTATATTCCATGGAATGCTCTTAACATCCCAATAGCAATGAATATCTTAAGTGCTTTGACAAAAAATCCATTAAAAAATGTCATCTGTGGAAGCCGTAATACTGTAAAAAGCACGACCAATCATTTTAGCCGGCCCGGCTCAAATAACTGGATGGCCTACCTGCCTGTCAGCCTTCCATCTGTGCACAAACTTATCTCGTGCCCTCATTGGTCATGTGCGCGTTCGTGTGTGTTGGAGGAGGGGCTCTATAAGGAAGTGGCAGATTTTTTCCGGCTGTGTATTTTCAAATTCTAGCGATCTCGAGCCGGTTTCTCAAACTTACCTACCCTACCTTTAATATTAAACATATTACATATTGTGGGAGAGAATCATTTATATGTTTTATTCCCTTTTTTTAACTTTGTCATTTATCGGTTTGTGTCTTTCAGACGTTGGCACAGTATTAAAGGTCATTGCCCTACACAGTGGGAACAGCCTGGAGACAGAGGAGGTCACACTGGAGGAGCTACAAGTCTTTAAAGTACGTTTTACTCTGTCAGGTGTCCTATCAATAATGCTCTCTGTTATCTGACTCATCGTAATATATTATATTCATCGTATCAACTAAACCCTCTTTGTAGTCAGATAAGGATACACTAACATGGCTCTCAAGAAAAGCTGTTTCCTCCCTTTTCGTTAACAGTAATTCTACTCTTGAGCTTGCCACTTTTCTTATTGTAAGCTTCTTCACACGTAAAAGTTCAATCATTTTAATTATTGCAGGTGCCAACTCCAATAACATCGATGGACATATCCGTGAAAAGGGTAAGAGAAGATTACTATTATGAATGCTTCTAACCAATTCTATGATCAACATCATGCCTTACTCCCTTTCTTCTGTTCTCATTGTTTCCAACAGCAAGCCCTGTATGTGGGCTCCCCAGCAGGCGTAGCGCAGGTGAAGCTGCACCGCTGTGAGACTTATGGGAATGCCTGTGCCGAGTGCTGCCTGGCCAGAGACCCTTACTGCGCCTGGGACGGATCAGTGTGTGCCCGCTACACGCCCAACAGCAAACGGCGCTACCGCAGACAGGACATCAGGCACGGAAACCCCGTGCTGCAGTGTGTGGATCAGAATCTGAGTGGTAAACAACTAAACCCTTTATTTTGTAGCCTTCATGTTTGTTATGCACAACTACTTTTTAATTGGTTGCAGTGACAATCTGGACAGCACCTGGTCAAGTTTTAGTACCTTGTAAAAACTTGAGACTTTTTGGGCTGCCAGTTTCTACAAAAGTATGTTTTTGTACAAATTAAACAAATAATATGCACTGTTTTACCTAGCAAGCTTTAAAAGGGGAAGATACAAAAGGAAACGTTGTGTGTGTGTGTGTGTGTGTGTGTGTGTGCGAACTTATAGATTGACAGATAAGCAGAAACTGAGGTTATCTAAAGCCATCAGCGATCATATGAAAAGAGCAAACAAAAAGGGAAAGAGAAACTGTGGCTAGAGAGGGATGTTTGCTCGCCTGACGGAAGGTATGGTGGTGGCGAGGTGATGACATATACCTTCTTCAAGGCCTTTGGATGAACCCGCATTTTATAACGTTTCTTTGTGCCAAGGTGTCAAGTAGTTGCTGAAGTCAAACTCCCTGAGGCCTGTGTTTTCTTTGCTAGGATTGAAATATCCTCCCAACGTGAGACGTCTGCTATTTGTTAGAGTTTTATTCTAAATAACGAGTGAACTTTTCACAAGGTACTGGCAAAGACACTGCGATTTTTAACAAACTTTGTTTTCAAATCACTGTTATATCAACCGACATCCTCAGTATTTCCTGTATTTTGCCATTTAGATTAAAGCTTTCTTTGTTGCCAATACGTTGAGTAGCATTTTGGACTGACTAAACTGGCTACAATGTTATTGTTATTCAAAACAATCCCTCTTTCATCCAGAAGACCTTGACGTGACAGAAGACAGAGTGGTGTATGGGACCGAGAACAACAGCACCTTCCTGGAGTGTGTCCCTCGCTCTCCACAGGCCACAGTTAGCTGGCTTGTCCAACGTGATGACCGCAAGGAGGAGGTAAGATTATAATTAAATATATAACATCAACACCAATATCGTGATGATAAAATACCACCTAATCCCAATTTATAGATGATGGGAAGAAGGTTGGTTAGAATTTGGAGACAGATGAGTGAAGGAATTACATTTCTGGCCAACTGTGGCTGAAGTAACTGCCTTTAACTGCCGGACTAAATGTATTTTACTGCGGGAGTTTCTGCCTTTAAAAGTGAGATTTGTGTGTGAATTTGGCACATGGTTGACACATTTGACAGCCATTTGACATACGGTTGAAATTAAGCAATTATATTTCAAAGGAAAATGCACAAGTACTCTTTCTCTTAGATAAACAGTGAATTCCAAAATTGACCGCCGAAATCTGAAGTGTCACTCAATGTCTGCCTGTCACTGTGACTTAAACAGTGTTGCAAAGTCATTTAGAGCACTACTTATAACATTCTTTTTCCGTGTGTGCCCACACCCACAGTAATCGTTCATTTGTTGGAGAGTTTGTTTCTCCAAGCTCAACCGAGCATCTCGGGCAGCCGTGCGAGTATTAAGGCATTACCACCCCTATCCATTTCCCTGCAAATAAACATTTGGCTGCCACTTCAGCTGACAAGGCTGCCATGTTTGTGTTGGCACAGAGGGATAGTTCGACAAGCAGAGAGATGGAAGCCGAAGAGGGGGGAGGGAAATAGAGAAAAAATAGTCATAAATGAATAGAGGAGAGACTTTGGGTTGAGGTAGGTAAAGAAAGAAAGAGAGAATGAGAGAAAAGAAAAAGGCGGAGAAAAAGTACAAAAGAGCCCTTCTTCTGTCATGCTTCAAATTGGATTACATGCTCTTTGCCCAAATATTCCAGATTGCATTTTTCTACCCGAAAAAGACGTCTACGATAAATAAAGATGCTCTAGTCTCATGGAAACTACAAAGGCTTTGAGTGGCGTAAACTCCCATTTTTAGCCCTTAGACATTTAAAATCTTTGCAATTATAGTCAAAAGGTTATTGAACTTTGTTTAAACACTGCAAAAGCTAATTTGTTTTTTAGGAATCGCCATTCATAGATTCTTGGCAAAATAATCACATTGATCACTGTCCAATCTGAAATACAATTGTAGTTTTCAATTGTAAAGGTCCCATGTCTTGGCCATTTCTACTGATCATAATTCCATTGTCGTTTCCTGGTTGCTGCCTGGGGTCTGCGAGACAGCGAGACACCGCGTAGCTCGGACCCCATTGGTCTCGCAGACCCTACGCAGCAACCAGGAAACGACACCAGCTCAGCCTGAGCCCGCGGAGCTGGGGCTCCAAAAAAATGGAAAAAGGAAAATCTCCAACGAGGCGTTCTGGGGCAGCATAGACACGTCTTTTCTGTGTTAGAGTTTTACTCGCTACAGGGTGTACTTTGAGGGTTTGTGACTCTGCAGACCGTTTACATGCATAAAAAGCTACATAACACACAAGGGGACGGGTAATAACCAGAAAAGCATATGATGGGACCTTTAAGAACAAAATGATTCCCCAAAATCTTAATTCCGCTGCATCATATCTTAAATGTAAACAGTATGGTGTTATATCATGTATAGGAGTTAAATGTTGACACATATTATCCCTCTGCCCCATTCAGGTAAAGCTGGATGACCGTGTGATGTCTACAGAGCAGGGCCTCCTGTTTCGTCGCCTCTCCCGCCAGGACGAAGGCGTGTACATCTGCCGCTCCACAGAGCACGGCTTCACACAGACCCTGGCCCGCCTCAGCCTCGAAGTCCTCCAGGGGGACACTGTAGATGAGCTCATGGCACGAGACAACGCCGGCCTCTCTGATGCGTACAAAGACCGGTCCACAGGAAGCTACCGAGCATGGATGCCTTGTAGCACATACAGCAGGGGCGGCTCATCAAGCCAAATCGGCCAATCGCGTACATGGTTCAAGGATATCATGCAGCTGATTGGGCCGTCCAACCTGCCCCACGTTGAGGAGTACTGTGAGAGGATGTGGTGCAACGACAAGCTGAGGAGGAAACACAAAAGCATGCTGGAGAAAAACCGCCAAGCGCAGGAGAGCGCCAGGAAGGCTCGTAGCAAGAGCTCCGGCGAACGCAACCGGACGCCGAGGGATCTTAGCGCATGGGAGGAGTAACTGAAAGAAAGTGAGCGGGGCATAAAGTAGGAGAAAATGAAAGACAAAAAAAGGGACAAAGATTGCAGCAAAGGACAGGATAAAATGGGCAGCAAAAAGGCTGCTATTTGTGGAAACTCTAGCACTGAGATTTGTATTGTAACGACTCGGAAGTGTTTGGTTTTCTGGAATGATGGCACAAAAAGAGACTGTTACTGAACAGGTTGTTATTGTGAAGAGGAGTGGATGTTTTTTTAAATCTTGATATCCATGGACTTCTCCTGCTTTCACAAGTTTGCCCTTGTATACTTTCATGCTTTGAAATGACAGCTTTCATTTTATCAAGTCAAATAAGACTTTCGCAAAGACAGACAACGCATGCCTTTGGAGCAACTCTCTGATGATTTGTGTTAGATCTTGGCGAAGTGCTTCAAAAGAGAGGAACATTTACATACTTTGCATGCTTGGAGTATAGCAAGCCTGTCAAGGTCAGCTCTGAGACACAGACACATACACTTATTTTCCATTTGTTGTTTTCGCATTTCTCACAAGGCAATCACTGGATTCATCTCTTTCTCAATTGGTATTTAAGTGAACACGTTTCTTGCCCTGCTCTGCACTTGGCTTTTTAAAAATGAAATATTCATGTGTGACTTCAGCCAAGAAATAACTTGGTTTGCAGTGTATTAGTTGCAGCTAATGCTCCCAGGGTAAGACATCTGCCGCCTTTTAAATGCAATGTATGGTATGGCTCGACTTGCTTTGACTGTTCTTTTTTATTGTGGCAAAAGTTGTGGATAGCACCTGGTACTGTTTTTGGTTGCGCCTTGGTTGAGGGTCCAAGTGAACTGAACCAATATTAGAAGGCGAAGTTAAGTCATTAGTTTGGTTTCATTTAAAATGTGTTCCTTTGTTTGGTTGCCAATCGATCCAGCAAGAGTGGAACAAAGCACTATTTCGCGTTGAAGAAGAGGTTGCGATCATTTGAGGAACAGAAAATTGAGAAAAGCATCCATTACCAAACATGAGTCAAGTCGAGCCAAACCATGCAGTTCAAATTAGGCATTTCTGTATCTGATCTCTCCACTGTACATGCACACACACACAAACACACTCTTACATAAACGGAAAGCCCACTCACCCATCACACTGAATGCATAAGCTCAACTAGCTCAAACTGGAAGCTACCATGAGACGACTGTTGATGGTTCAACAGATTAAAGGCACATTGCTTTATTTTTAGTGTTGCGGGTTGAACTTTCCATTAAAACCAGCTACAGATCAAGATTCCTCCCTCACGACCCTTAAAGGGATATTTCACAGCGGTATACTTTCACGCTTTTGGGCACATACCATAACACCTACTGGAATGTACCTAATGGCCACAGTCGATCGCTGATAGTTGCTTCCCTGGGATTACTTATAGATTGAACCTCAGCTCAATGAAACTCAATTGGGATTTAAACACCAATTTAGAGTGCACACATTATTGTTCAAAATGTTATGTCTTGAGTAAGTGTCATTTTCAAATATCTTTTTCAAAAGACGGACCTCTTTGTCCTAGCCTCACCTCACACTTCCATCATCCCCTAAACTCATTTTCTCACAGTTCCTCTGTATGCTGTAGCTCGCTACTGACAAAAGAGGGAACAAAAGAAGGGGTCAGCTCTAATGGCTGACTCCTTGTGCTTTCTGCTTTGTAAACACTGGTTTTATGACGGTTCATGGTTTGAACACATGATACTCCACATTGTTATTCACTTCAGGTTTTGTTGTTAAAATAAAATATACTGTAACTTTGACCGTAATTGAATTTTTTTTCACAAGGGACAGGGCCATGGAGTTAGGGTTAGGGTTAGCATGGAATTAACTCTAATTTGTAAAAAAAAAAAGAGAAGAGAACATGTACAGTAAAGACAGGTCGCAAGATTATAAGATAAATGCCAAGCTTCAATTTCAGTAAGGGCTGTGTGTACTGAAGAAGACTGAAATACATTTTAAGAGTTAATTTCAAAACTATCACCCATGTAACAATTATAATATATTAATGGCGGCTTTGCAGGTGCATCACACATTGAGCAGCCCCTCCTGGCCACATCGATGAGGGCGAGTGGAGAGTTGTGAGAATGATGGGTTGGATATAGTTCACAGAACAAACAAAGTGTGTCTGTAATATGTCTTTGGTTCAAAGTTGCCAGATGATACCTTGGAACTTTGTCCCAATACAAGTTGATGTACGTAAGCAATCAAAGCTGATATTATCCACATTTATACTTTGATTAATCAAATGTTGGCTGTCAAGCGGTGAAGTAAGCAGTTTCCAAAGTATGAACTGGATAAACGTAAGCATTCTTAAAGGATCTGTTGAAAGACATATAAAGAAACACAAACAGATGTTCACAAAAAGCTGAGAAGAACGGAGAACCTACACCAATATGTCCGCTGGAGGGTAACGTCCCTGTAATGTGTACATATTAAAGATCGCATAGATATCCTGGGAGCCCTCTCACTGTTTAAAATGATCCAGGAAACAACATTAACACCAGTGAACTCGGTGACCCTTTGTAACCTTCATGGCGTGTGAATGGCTCCTGAGAGACAAATAAAAGGGAGAGTCGGTAATTGAAAAGAACAAAGGGGAGAGATCTTCAAAAAGTAAGGTACTTTGAGCATCTTGTGAAGGCATTATTTGCCTTTATAAAATACTATTACCTTTTTAAAGCCTGTTTCAAAAACATTCATCAGTATAAAGTGAGTATTTAAGAACAAAATCCCCAGTTTGTACAGCACTCTTAAACACACATTTTACTCTAGCAACGTTTATTTTCCTAGTTAGAGGATTGGGAGACCGGCTATTAGAGTCCACTTATGGTGTTTCCTTTACAAATATTGCTTCTGATGTATATCTATACTGGGGGATAAAAAGTGATAGAGGGAGAGGAGCATGGTTTGCACGGAACCAAGAGACAGTTAGCACGGTAACAAGAGATACAAATGTGTTTTATGTTGTAGATAACCTTCTTGAAAGTTTGTTTTCTAATAAAATTGTCACTTAAGTTTAGATTTCAGTCTTGTCATGATTTTGGTGAAAAGAGCTACACAATTATTTTGTCTGTTCTGCTCTTGTCTATAACAAATATGTTTTTGATGTGGTGGCATCATTGTGACGACCCCTGCTTTACTCCTCCCTGTTGTGTGTGGGGGGGGGTGTACCTTTTGCTCACGTGGGCCCATGTTGACCCTGCATTACTGTCATCAGGAATTAAAAACAGTTTAAGGTATTACTTGTGTTACTATGATTGCAAACTAAATGTGCAATTGTATAAAAATACAATTTTCCATTTTCAGCAAATGACATGAAGGAACCACCAAAATAAAGGCTGACACCACTTTTGCTGCAAAGTGATTTGATAGTTAAAGTGACACAAAGATCATACTAAAGGTTCATTAGTATTTATGTTTTCTTGCGAGGTATGGAATTTTTAGTTGCTGACCAAAAACAACTGGTCTATGTTTAAAACACCCATTGTAAATCCTTCAAATATATTAGTTGTTGTACAATTGTACAAAGTTTGATGTGGTATTTAATCTCAAACATGTTTTTTAAACTCTTGAACTGTCCAACCATCTAGCTAGTTCAGTGTAGTTTAATACTTTTTACATTTTATTTCAAACACATGTTAAACTTGCAGCACCTTTACTTTTTAAATATTCAACTGTTGTATTTTACAGTGTTGTAGAGAGAACACTTGATGGGTTTATAATTTGACAAAAACTCGACTATGGTCAATACATTGTGATAAGTGGTCACCTGTGGGCACCTGTCAAACTTCACCAGGTGATTTCACTAATTACTGATTGTCTGCACTTCGCTACATGAAGCAGATACATATATTTCGTCTGGTTCGCTTTGTGAAAGCAGATACTGCAGCAAACACATTTAGGAAATACATCTTATCTATCTCAGGACTATGACATCCAAGAACTTGGAGGGTCAGCTGTCCAATAGGCACAATAAAGCCATCATGAACTCAACACACATGGGTTTCCTACTTACTGAACATACAGGCAACAACACTCTCAGTGTCCCTTTTATTGTACTGTAAAATTGTGCTGGTTTTGGCGTCTATGACTTTGAAACAATATTTATGTTTTATTTAAGTGTCTTTGTACCATGCATGCTATGTACTTGTATGCTTTTTAACAGCATTAAAAGTTGATTTTCTAACAGAAAGTTATCCTTGACTGAGTGTTTGAAGTAATTACACTTAACGTTGTTTTAAGTGCAATGGCAGGGCAAGACTATTGGTGCCAGTGGTATAAACAGAAACAAACAATAATGCCCTGAAATGAACCACCTTTATAAAATACAGCATCGTCTGCTTTCATTTATTATTTATATTTGTTTATGTGTTTTTGTCTTTCTTTCTATACACATGGCCCACAATGTGCATCGCTAAACAGCAAAAATCCCTTTGGCAATTAAGGGGTATTTTAATGTTAAAATCAGAAACACTTTTGGGGGAACCTAACCTTGAGGTCAAAAATAAATGCTGGTAGTGAGTACTCCCCATAATGAAGTTACAACGAAAAAGGTGTATCTGTGCAACAGCTGTGGTATTTCCTCTTTCTGTGAGTGCTCTCAAAAGTGTTATTAACCAGGAGGACATGTGCCTGCATGAGCGGGTGATTGCAGATTTACAGACCGAGTGTCGGCCCATTACGTTAGCCAGTGCCTGGGTCTGGCCATGCATATGATTGCAGGGTAATTGGGCAGCCAGCATCTGTGGAAATGTGCAGTAACAATGGCTGCTTGTCGCTTCAGCAAACAGACCATCTCATAAAAACTAAACCTGCAAACGAACCCACTAAACGACTTCACACCCGGACAATTACTGCAGCCACATAAACACACATAAATGCAGGATGAATATACGCACATACATGGTCATACATAAAGACCAAACACACAAATGTTCACCCACGCTGCAAGGTATAAAACTTTCGGTGTCATCCACTACAGCAGGAATTCAGGTGGCCCTAGTGTTTATGTTATCAACAGTTCAGCTTTGTACGGGTCAATCCTCAAGAAATGCATTTTAACACTGACTGCTACTAATCAATCTTTTTATCAAGAGGAAAACACACACTAGAATAGAATAGAATCCTTTATTGTCATTATATACAATGAGATGAGTAGAGCTACTACTCCATTTTTTAAGGTGCCATCAAAAATACAAAAACCAACAAGGGACGTACAACATTCAGGAGAAGACAACATACAAACAACAAGCATTCATACTTCAATATTCAGATAAGTTTAAAGTGCATGAATATATCGGTTTAAGTAAAATATGTTTGAGTGTGTATACAAATATATATATATATTGTTTCAATGCATGCTGGAGTTAAGTGCAATTATTGCTCTGGGGTAGAAACTGTCTTTAAGTCTGTTTGTCTGTCCTTTAAGACATCTGTAGCGCTGTCCGGACGGCAGCATGTCAAACAGCATGTCCTTCACAATGTTCTTTGCTCTACTGAGGCAGCGGGAATTGAAGATGTCCATCAGGGAGGGGAGAGGGCAGCCGATGATTTTCTGCGCTGTGTTGATCACTCTCTGGAGCCTTTTCCTGTCTGCCGCAGTGCAGCTGGAGTACCATACGGTGATGCAGTATGTCATCAGGCTCTCGATGGCTGAGCGGTAGAAGGTCTCCAGCAGCTTGGGGTCCAGGTGGTTCTTCGTCAGCACCCTCAGGAAGTGCAGACGCTGCTGGGCCTTCTTGATGACTGCTAGGAGCCATAGTAACAACTTATTTCATGACCCTCTTATTAAAGCCTGTAATTTGTCAGGAAGTCAGAAATCCGTTTGAAATGACCTGCCATATTTGGTTATAACAAGGCTCATGTGATAGTATTTTCAATTTCCTTTCCATTTTTTTCTGTCTCTTTCACTGTTGACGATTATGGAGGCTGAATTGCCATTCAACATTTTGACAGCATTTTAGGTGCAATTTCAGGGAGCTAATATTGCTACACAGTATGAACGCCATAAAGCATTGCTTTTTAATAAAGACAAATGTAACGGCTCACATACAGTATTTAAACTCATTCATACACAGAAGAACACATCTCATGCTTCAGTACCAACTGTATAGAAACACTTATCTTCAGTGTTTATGAGAAATCAAATACACTTAAACAACCATGGCTAGCACAGCCCACAGCTGTCAGGAACAGAATACCACAATCCTTAACTCTGTAAACGGTTTTATATACATTCACAAGCACATGTATACAACCACAGACACATAAAAAAAACCTGCAAACAATTTTATCCAACCAAGTTTCAGACAAACAAACCCTATAGTTAAGTTACTTTCGGTTATGGTTGAGCACAAACTTTGTCTTTTAACTAATTTAGAATTTGAATGTTGATGATTAATGACCTTTTTATGATGCCCAGCACTACAGGACAGTGTAGGTTCATTGATTGCGGTTGACATTCAATAAAGTAAACCACCTTTGATGGTGGCAGAGGCAGATTAGAGCCCAGTTAGGGTTGAAAGGGGGGTTTCCTGACCACAGTATAGAGGCAATGTAAGGATATTGTTGCCTTTATTTTTTAAATATTCCTCACCACTAAAACTGTCTTTGAAAATAGTAGGTTTATAGGTCCATCTTTTACCTGCAAAATCTACTGATAATGTATTCCGCGTGGTGCAAAAAGAATATACTGTATGAAAATTGCAACTTGGCAACACAAAATGCAAAACAATGAAATGACTCAGTGGGTATTGGACATATTTCAGTCCCACAGTCTTAGCTGGACAGAAAAGCCATTATTTCTGTAGGAATATGACACAAAACCACAACTTTGTTATAGTTGTAAATATTCTAAAAAAGTAAATATGGATCTGTGATTCCAGTGTGCGGGGTCCCTCTTTTATTGCAGTTTTATTTATCTTTTAATATGAAGTATCACTTTTTTTGTGTAGATGTTCACATGTTAACTGTTTAGATTGAATCATTCTTAAAAGACGAAGGTTTATAAGACAAAGTAAAGCTTTGATTTGTCTCCAGTCTAAGAATACTAACAAACTTTGATGGCTTCATGTACTTTGTTTGCATTATTTATTCTTAGTATTGAAGGAAGCCAAATTGTTAGTTCTTTCTATTAAGCAGTTGAGTTTGTTTGTAATGACATATATACATTTCAAAACTTGTTTGGACTTTGAAGGAAAGACTAACTCTATTGGTTCATACATTACATAAGGGTTTTATTTAAAATCCTTATGTGGTAATACACAGTCCTTTTGTTGCTGTCTAAACACACTTGAACTATTTAAAGCACAGTAAGTCAGCAAGTCTCATTTATAGGTTTAATGGTATTAAATAGGTCCATTTGTATACATTACATATACATAATGGCCCTGAGTGACTTTTGGCACATAAATAAACCCGATAAAAGAGGATTACATTGTTTGTATAACAACACTTGACAGCAAAAGTGGTTAAATATGTATAATGCTATAATATCTGCTAAGAATGCTGTTGCTGAAACCTAGATGTTCCCAGGATAATAAACCCCTTTTAAAAGTTGTATACAGTAAGTGAGAAAACATACAATTCCAGCAGCAGTTCCCCGTTTCTTATTTTTGTACCTCTTTTGCTTAGACTAAAAATATGTTGTGTTCCTGTCTTGCATGAGTTCCCAAGACGAATGAGGCCACAATCCTGTGGCTCCGTGTCAGTTAAATGTATTCAGATTCAGCTGTGGGACAAAGCCACTTTATAACCTCTGATTTAGGTTTATTGCAGCACCTCACAGCAGTGTTACGCAGTTCTTCCCAGGCGGTCTCTGTTGGTCTACTTCATTTCTGCTCCACTTCAAACACATTCCCTCTGCCTCGTTGATCCTGATTGGATGCATGACGTTTCTCACACTTGCTGACTGCAGAGCTTACATTGCCCTAAAGTGTTAAACATTTTTTTATTTGTTTTGCTTTTATTTGAGCTTCCCAATTTTGACATATGAAATGACAATTGTCTATTTTGTTACACCTTTTAGCTTTGTCTCTAAAGTCTGGCAATATACCCACAATTACGCTTTTTTTAAAGTCAGAAAATGACCAGGGTAAAGTATTACACATATGATTCAATTCAAAACCTGCTTGGACATTTTCCATCTTGTTTACTGTAATCATTGTTAGACATAATGTTCAACACTTCCATATTAATTAATGTGCTTTATTTTTGTTGCTCCCAATGCAGTGATTAAAGAAAAGTGATTGAAGCTGCAGGAAATCTTTTGCTGATAGAGCTATTGTCGTCCCAATGCAAATAAATCTCATAAGGCAGTCAAAGTGTTCCTCCATATTTTCTCCACTCACAATGGTGCACATGGTTCAACTCATCCTTTCTTCCATTCTTTGTTGTGGATTGGCACTTTCTCAAAATATCAGTAAAACATTTTTGAATTGATCAAATGGTCCAGACGGAGACTCCGGGAATAAGACTTGCAGTTTGTCAAACAATAATTTAGACACAAAAGGTTTACATTTATCTAATTACAGCGCATCTCAAGTCTGACTCACACATGTATTTGTAGGAAAATGATGAACTGGATGCCATTAATCATTCTGTCTGCATTCTGAATCCTATTGTTGTCTTATGAAATGTTTGTGTGTTGGTAGGGACGGAAGATTTCCAAGGCATCCATCTGTGTCAAGTAGTTTTTTGGCTTCTTCTGTTCTTTTTTTGACCTTGGATAAGACCTTATTAAAAACCATGAAAACTGTTTTTCACTGAAACCTTCACCTTGAAGCAAACTTCTTTATTGCTAGCAAGTTGTTGGTGGAGAGGTTAAAAAAACAACAGACCTTTGGTGTTAGGTTTTAGGGTTACTGTTGTTTGTGTCTACGCAGACAAAAACATTGTGACACGGTATGCAAATGACCTATACTGTTGCTTAACGTACATTTGCAAAGAATGTAACTAATTAGGTAGCTTTACATATTAAAAAACCAAATGACAAAGATAGTTGATAATAAAGGTGTAGCACATCAGATTTTATCATTATTGTGAAAAACAAATGAGGACAAGCAGCAGGACAAGGGAGCAACACAAGAGGATAAAAACACTGAAGTGGTGGATGAAGATAAAGGGGAGGGGCTTTGGTACACAAGGTGGACTGATGAACAAAGGAGAGGAAACAAGAATGAGATAGGG